ACTACTAAAAATGGTAAGCCAAATTAAAAAGATAGGTCTTTAATTTACTTTTAAAAATTCCAATTGAGGTTGCCGTTCTAAGATCAAATGGAACTCCCCAGTTTTCTTGTAATGCACTCTATACGTAATGCACTGTTAACATACGCAGACACAGTTAAGTATTAAATGCAACAGCTGAAAACCGAATAATTTCTCACCAGAGATCTGTCCTGATGGAGCCAGCAAGTTATCCAGAGAAGAATCTGATGAAAGATGAAAACAATCAAAATCCTGCTACCTCCAACAGTGCAAAGAGAGGCCAGTGGGCCAACAAGAGGGAGTACATTTTATCTGTTGCCGGACATATTATTGGTCTGGGCAATGTTTGGAGATTTCCATATCTGTGCTTCAAAAATGGAGGCGGTAAGAACAGTTAAAACTATTGTATTGTATTGTATAAGAATGTAAGAAAAGAAAATACTAGAAAACTGGTATTAAATTAGTAACATTTTGTGTCATTTTTCTGACTAGAATCCATTACTTTTCTCAATTTGTCTTTTCAGGAGCTTTCCTGATCCCCTATGTGGTGTTCCTGTCCACATGTGGAATCCCCATCTTCTTTCTAGAGGTATCTCTGGGGCAGTTAACGGCTCAGGGTGGGATCACATGTTGGAGGAAAATATGTCCCATATTTGGAGGTACTACTAACATAACTACATATTCCACAGAGTGCCAAAGTATTTGAAATATGTGTATATTGTTACATTACTTTTGTGTATCAAATGTTAAAATGGCAGCTCTATTTTTTTCAAAGGTTTAGGCTACGGCACTCAAGTTACATTGTTATACAGTGTGGTGTATTACATTGTCATCCTGGCTTGGGCCTTCCTCTACCTCTTCTCCTCCTTCCACACTGTACTCCCCTGGGCCAGCTGCAACAACACCTGGAACACAGGTAAACATCGCACTGATGTTAGTGCAAAGGCCTTATGTAGGTACAGAATGACTGTTAGTGGCCATATGAAGGCAATCAACTAATCATAGGCATGCTCAATTATGTATGGAGAACCCTTGATATCAACATGGTTGCAAATTCTGAAAATGTCAACTTGTTTCATTTGACTCTTTTGCTTCAAGATAACTGCTTTGATTGTGGACAGAATTATTCAGTTTATCGCCACATCAATGAAAATGCAACATCATCAGTGAAAGAATTCTGGCAGTAAGTACTCACATTAGCAAAACAGTTTTTAGAGTCACTAAAATGTCTTGACATAACTTTCTTCTTGCACTCAGGAGGAGAGTCTTGGGTTTGTCTGGAGGAATTGAAGAGATGGGCAATATCCGCTGGGACCTGGCTGGATGTCTTCTGCTAAGCTGGATCATCTGTTACTTCTCTATCTGGAAAGGAGTCAAGGCGACAGGAAAGGTGAGATGTATACGCTTATTATTAAATGGGTAATTTAAACCTAAAATTATAATTAAAACCTAAACATTAATGGGCTTATTGACCACAATTAATAACAGTATGTATTGGTGCTTCTCTTTCAGGTTGTGTACGTCACAGCCACTTTTCCAGTTGTGATGTTGATTGTGATGCTGATCCGTGGGCTGACATTGCCAGGAGCTGTAACTGGAATTAGATATTACCTTTATCCTGATCTGACCCGTCTGACTGATCCTCAGGTGAGGTCTATGTGTGACTAATGAGTGATGTGTAAGTGACACACTGCACAGAACACTACTTGGCTAACACTTGCAATACTAAAATGTATGGACTTTAACTTAGACCAAAACTAAATATTGGTTAATCATACTAGCAAATGTTACTTGTGAAGCCAAAGGCTGATATTAAATAGCTACGGTTTTACACTTGGATTAGAGACACTAGATGGAAGATAAGCATGCCACTTTCAGATGGCTCTAGGTGATCAGTTCAAAAGGAAGGTCATCATACAAGTGTGCAAGCCGTTTTTGTACTAAGTTGTGCCATTTATTTTAAATTCACTTTGCAAAGTTGAATTCACGTCAAAGCCCACCAGAGCTCAACAAACTTTTGGTCCCTTAAAGACACAGTACAAAGGTGTGGGCAGAGCAGCCATGAATTGTTTTTATTTTCAACCAATCTGTGTAATTCAGCCTCTCACCTAATCGCATGGCCAAGTCATTGTAATTCTGGACATTAGCGCAGCATTTGACACAAGAGGTTCGTTGTTTCTGGGAAAAACAATGTATTTTGTTAGGTTTGGTGTACCTCAGGGGTTGTTTTTGGTAGCAATTATGTTTTCTTTATACTAGCTTTCCCCCGTTGGCACACTATGTATAAATATATATTTTTTAATTATATTTGATGCTGATTATATGCAGATGTACCTGCCCTAAGATTCACAAACCCTGAAATGCTGTATTCAACGAATGACTTTCCTTGTGATGTCAAAACAGAGATCTTCTGAAATATACTGTTTTCCCATTGGATCATGACAAACATTTTAAGTTTTAAATCATGTTTTTAGGAATTTATTAGGAATATGTATCTTAGATTTTAAAGACACAGAGACTATTTAAAACGCCTTCATCTGGTCACATCTGCAACGGGAAAAATATTTTTTCCTTGCCCAGACAAAAAATGTATCTATTGACTGCAGGACTCGGATCAATCCTGTTTTTCCGTCTTTGATGGCTCCAAATATGTTAAAGAAAATATTTTAGAATGTTGCTGATGCTTTTATCTTTGACGTCTTAGCATTCACCATTACGTGCTGTACCCATACATTAATGACCAGAAGCGTTTTTGTCTATTATAAAGGCTTGGCTGAAAACAAAAGGGAACAGGGTATTTCCTGTCAGGGCCCAGAGGCGGAGAATTGAGCAATCACACATTAACAGGAATAAAAGCAGGTACAAGTTAGGTTTCAGGTCTACCAGAGGAAAAAAAGCAAAATTGATGATCTGCAAATGAGAAGGTGGAGAAGGTGAAACTATTGGGAGTAATAGGGAAAGAGGAACATGTGAGCAGGAGGATGTAAGAGTCAGATGGGACATGTGGGAAAGTCTGAGGACATCCGGAGGAAAGATACAAATTGTGTTAGAGAGTTTCTAAGACATGCATGGAAGTGGAAATGTGGCTTAAGAGAGGGACAGAAAGGTAGAATTCTAGATGCCTGAACCAAGTACACAGTATAACAAAGTATAGTTATATATTATACAAGTATAAACATCATATGTATCAATATTTAAAAGCATTTAAAATCACTGGCACTGCACATTTAACTGATTTAAGGTGTGGATGGATGCTGGGAGCCAGGTATTGTTCTCCTATTGCATTTGCGTAGGCAGTTTGCAAGCGATGGGAAGCTACAACAAATACAATAACAACTGCTACAAGTAAGGATAACATTATATCCTATGTTTGTACATTATATGCATTTAACGGTTTATGTCATGCAGGATAAAATAGATAATCGTCCTTTTTAATTTCCAGAGACACTTTCGCCTTGTGCGCACTGAACAGTTTAACCAGCTTTTTTGCTGGCTTTACAGTCTTCTCTGTTCTCGGCTTCATGTCGCATGAATTGGGTGTTGACATCTCAACAGTAGCTGAATCAGGTATGGGATGATTTGAGGAAAAACATTGTGGTGTATATTAGCTTTGTTGTGTTCCTATGAAAAATATTAAGTGATGAATAAATTGTATTGTTTTTTTCAGTTGAAGAGAAAAAATATATAATTCACAACTTAACACATTCAAGTCTCACAATAACATGTGAGAAAAAACACTTGGATGTTGGTCCCCATATATCATGTGGGACCTCACATCAATGTGTGCTGCAGGGTTCTTTCAATTATAATTCACAAGAACATCATTCTTGTACCTGTAAAGTACTTATGAGGACCCTCTACTCTCTAAATGTATTCCTTATTTCCTAAACACAATCCAAGACAAAATCAATTAATCAATCAATTCCTGCAGCACCTGCTATTTTGACCCATTGGCGGGAGCAGAAACTTGCTGTAAACACAACACAGAAATATTATCACCTTTTTTACAACCAGTGTGTAAGATAGTGCCATCTCGTGGTTAGATTGCATATTGCAACCTACTGAATACCAGCTGGTGTACATGGGGCCAGAAATAAAAGATTTAGTTTGAATAACTCATCATCACTGGACACAAACTAAGCAGGTTCTGGTCTAATTCCAACCCTAAAAGCAGGTGCTATATATAGAAATGATAAGTGTACTAATTTCTAAGACATTTGGCTTTCTACTTGCAGGTCCTGGCCTGGCATTCATTGCTTACCCTCTGGCTTTATCCATGATGCCTTTACCTCAACTCTGGGCTGCCTTCTTCTTCATCATGATTATCCTTCTTGGATTGGACAGTGAGGTAAAGTTTTCACATTCAGCTGTATTTAAAATATACTGTACATAAGAATTGTCCCCCTGATACTTTAATTATAATAAAATCCCTGCATGAAAAGACAACATCAGTATATCTCTATTTCTTTTTACTTTTGATTGATTTGTATTGCTTTTAATGTGCAAATATTCCATAAGATATTTTCAATGGTTGTGTCTTGTGATATCTAGATCTAGAGATATTAAGTATCCAAATACATAAAAGATATAAGCAATCAGGCTTAAGTTACAGTAAATGTTTGGACAGAATATGCACTGCCTTGTTGTTTGAAGGTAATATTCATGAAGACTAAAACATTTCCAAAAGTCTTAAAGGTCTCCTATCATGCAAAATGCACTTTTTGATGTATTTCATACATAAATATGTGTCCCCGGTGTGTATGGGAACTCACCAAGCGTCAGACAACCAGCAGCTACTGACCCAGAATCAGCACTTCTGATCAACAGGACGGAAAAAGAGGGTTATGAGGGATGTCTAAAATGCATGATCTGTTTGGTATTTTCAGAAAAACACATCATAGACATGTTTTTTATATATTTTTATATATCTGAGACCCATAATATATGCCTAAAAATAGCATAATAGGAGACCTTTAAGACCTGAGAATGGCTAGAAACTTAATTGTTATAATCAGTGTAGAAAATGTAAAGGTGACATTTATCTTTTACCCACAGTTTGTGTGTCTGGAAGGCCTGGTGACAGCCATATCAGACAGGTTTCCATCCTCCTTTCTCATTGGTCATCGACGTAAACTAGTTCTGCTGATCATCTGTGGCGTTTCCTTTGTTATTGGCCTGTTTATGGTGACTGAGGTTAGAGTCTACATTTTTTATCTATAAGATTAAGAGTAAAAGACAGCACCATTAAGTCTCTCTTTCCGTGCTAAATATGTTGTGCATTTAACAAAACAATCTCTTTTGTGTTCCTGTTTCTGTCTTCTCTGTCATTTGCTGTAGGGAGGACTGTATGTATTTCTGCTGTTTGATTACTATGCTTGCAGTGGAATACCATTCATGATTTTTGCCATTTTGGAGTGCGTCTGTGTGGGATGGATATATGGTAAGCAACAAGATCATTTTAAGCAAGGAAAATTAGCAGTCCAACAGACATACAGTATAGATATGTGAAGTAATGTTAGCCCCTAAAACTATGCCATTATGAATAACAGTGATACTGTAAAATATTAAAAAACATTGTATTGATATTTGCTCATTTTACTCACTTATCAAATTTTTTTTCATCTACACTGCATAAGTAACCAGAGGGCACTGCTAAAGCCATTAAAACATTTGAACAACTGCCTGGAGGGCAGAACATTTCCCGCCTATCTGTGAGGCCAGTACTATCTTACACATTAACTTAGCTTTCATTCCTCTTGGACCAAAAGAAGAAAGACTTGAGACTGTTCTCAGGAATGTAATGGACTCAGTAGTAGTGCTGAAATTCTGCCCCCTTTTCCTTATGAGCACGTGGCCAGGCATCAGACCTTTCCCTTTTATATCTTAATGTAGATGAATCCCAGTGTTTGATCATATTCTTGAATGACTCCCTGACTACAAGGTGCTGATTGTTATTATGACAATATAAAGGAAATG